GCATGCATGTACAATGGGAAGGAGAGCTGAATTTACCATTTCTACATGATGCAGGAAGCTTCTTATATCTGCTAAAATAATTCATCCTGGTAATTTCTTTCAGTCTGAGTTGAGTTTGAGGTATTTTGTGATGATACTAAGACATATTCAGTGTCTGTCTCAAGTCTAAAAGCTTAGTTGCCTTAGTATGCTTACTGAATGAGAGCTGAGAATCAGGTCTAATTTCATTTGCAACATGAGGGTCTGAAAGTGAATCTTTTGATTGGTAGTGATGACATTAGTTTACATATAAATATTGGCACTGAAGGAAATGTCAGCTGTTCACCTATAGAGAACTGAATCACACATGAGGTAGGAGAAAGCAACTGGCTTTGATCATTATTCTAAAGCAACATCAGTGACTAAAGAGAAAGAAACAACAAATGTATAACTGGTGCATAGAGGGAACAGAAAGAACCTGTTGTAGAATGAAGACTGGGCTTTTTACAGGAGCCTCTTGGAAGCAGACTAGCAGGTAGAGCTGGTGGACAGACAACGATCTGTGGGAGAACAGCCATAGGTATGTGAGTATGCTTTCATTACTATAATCACCACCCCAAACTGAGTCCTTAACAAAGAAATAAGTGTTACTCAAAGTTTTGGATACTGAAAAGTCCCAAATTGGGCAGCCCTGTTCATTAGCCCACTGGCAAGGGCCTAAGGCAGACACATCACGGTGACAGCCCATGTGAGAGGCAGAGATCACATGTGGAGATAGGAAGCCCAGAGGCTGGAGGACTACATTAATTAATACCCTGGTGGCCTTGCCATTGCCTCCAGAAAACAAGCTGTTCACCACCTGAGCTCCTGAGCCCGCACTCAAGCATAGTCAAGCTGCAATACCAGGGAGGATAATGTCATCAACAATTTGCAGATCATACAGTTTTCATTTTAGCTGTTCATGTAGCATCTGTTAATTACCTACCATGTTAGGAGGTCGAGTCATAAGCGAGTAAGACAGCATCTCATCCCTCAAGGAGTGTGAAACCATTAAACTCATCTGAGTTCTTTGATATCACTCTGCTCATATAACATGGAGCCAGACACCTGTTCCTCAGATAGGATGAGAACATTTTCATGTCGAAAAGAAGATTTTTTGATTGGAATCTTGCATGGTAAGTAGCTTAGTTCCTACAGAAGATTAGTGAGTTGTGCTGAATGTGGTATGTTTGAGGTACTTACACAACACATGTGTTAAAATAGTCGGGGGGGGTTTTCTTGTAGACAATGGGATCTCATGAGACAGACTTGAATTTGAGACACAGATCTGGGAATTTTCCACAAAGTTGATCCCAAAATCAAGTGATGAATTAAGTGAAAAATGTGAAATCCAGAAAGGCTCTTTTGACGTCTCAGAACTAGAAAGAGCTTTAGAATTTTTCAGCCCAATTTTCTCATTGTTAACAATTGACAAATAACAAATTGGTTATATATATAACCCAATCTCAGGAGACACATGGCAAGCTCTGGGATGTAGACACCTTTGGGTGAAGCTATAGTCATAAAGAGAAGCTGTGACGTGTTCTCTCTTGTCACCACAGCTGTCTTACAGAATGTTTGGGGGTGGGGTGCCCACAGTTGCAGCCAACCTGACAGCAGAAAAACAGAGTGTACATCTGGAATGTCACTTCCAGAGACTTCCAGGCAATACATAACAAATTGCACAATTCCAGCTCTCTGTCTCTCTCTGTCTCTCTCTCTCTCTCTCTCTCTCTCTCTCTCTCTCTCTCTCTCTCTCTCTCTCTCTGTCTTTTTATCTCTCCCTACCTATCTATATATGAGGTACTTTGTTGGGTAGGGAGAGATGGTTCAGTGGGTAAATCACCTGTCATTCACACATGAAGGTCTTGGTTTGAGTTCACAGAACTAATAAAATACCAAGTACGGCAATGTACGTTTAATTCCAGAGCGCTTACAGAGAGATGAGAGGAGGAGACAGGAGAATCCCATGGAAGCTCAAGGGCTAGGCAGCCTGGTATGCTTATCACTGTACCAAGGTGGAACACGAGGACTGATACCTGAGGTTGTTCTCTGATTTCCACGTATGTACAGTAACAATTGCTCAACTATACTCATACAAATGGACACACACAGGCAGACACCCACACACTTGCACATACAAGTATACATGCACACTTATCCTTGCACACAGAGATGGGAGGGAGGGAGGGACAAAGAGAGAACATGTAAGAGGCCTTTTTAAAGTAAACGTTTCATATATAAGTACCTAGACATATATTACTCAAAGAATTTAGAGCTTATTCACTGTCTGGGTTACAGAATTCCAGTCAGGAACTTTAATAGAAACAAACGATAAATGAATTCATTACATTCCAGATAAAATGTAATTTCATCTTCTCTTAGTTACACAAATATGTATTGTTTAAAAGAAGCCAAGTTCTATGTTAAGCTTGTCATCATTTATAAGTGACATATTTAAAATGAACTTATAAAAGCAAACAGCATCCTTTATGATACTGAGTTTCTTGGCGCTGTGCTGTGGTGTGTATAATGTGCTGTGTGCTGTGCTGTAGTGTGTGTGAGTGTGTGTGTTTATAGTGTGCTGTGCTGTGCTGTGCAGTGTTGTGTTTTTGTGTGTGTGTGTGTGTGTAACATAATTTGTAGATACACATCCTGTGTGATAATTTTTCATCTCCTCGACTAACCTGCCTGATATTGCTGCTTGAGCAGTCATGTTTCAGGGGCAACTAGCAAGGTGCTGGAATTGCATCAAACCCTTCCAATCGTTGAATAAAGCTACTCAATGGCTGCTTTCTGTTACATGTGGTGCCCATGTCCACAGCCTGTGAGACCTCGTTTCTTGTGCACCTCTCCCTAATTTGGTGTTCAGCATTTCCCACTGAGTCTATTATGTCCACAATGGACTCCCTAGGCTCCTTCAGATAGCTTCAAACTTCTTTGCCCTTTAATTGTATGCTGCTGTCTCTGCGTGGAAGTATTTCCATCAAATGAGCCTGGAGCTGGCTCCTCAACAGCTAGTTGTCTGCTAAAACATCAGATCTTTAGAGAATAGCATTGAGCATCTCGTTAAAGATATCCTCATTCTAGGTCACTCTCTGTTTGCCTTTGAGCCTATTTAATTTCATCAAAGTTGTTATGAATGTCTGAAATGATTGATGTCCCATTTCTTTGCTGATGATGTAATTAACTACAGTGGCAGGGACTATGTTTTTTTATTTTCTACTTGACCTCAAGTACTTAGCTGTGTCTTCAGGACACACTTTGTGTGGTAGCTACTTATATTCTATGACTTAACATATCAGCATGATTAGTTTAGATGGCTTGTTTTTAAGCTCTAGGCTCATGAGAGACACAATCCTTTTTACGAGTGCTCTTAGCAGAGCAGTGCCCTACCATCACATGAAGTGATGATAAAATAGAAAAAACAGTAAGTAATCAGTTGAACTGTGTCACAACATCCCAGTGTCTAAAGAACTCTTTTCTGCTCTTTGTTAAAACACATTCAGGCAAACACTTTACAGCCACGTCCCATTCCAGGACTGAGATAACTATTTCCTAACTCCAGGAATCCTGTGCATATCTAGATCTTGGTTTCTGTATCTTCTGCTCTGGACTGCAACATCCATGGCAGAACGGAGAAAGTCCATGTCTTGGTTACTCTGTTCTTCCAGTCATGCAGGGCATCTCACGTGATGATGAGGGGTACCTTATAGA